AAGCATTTCCTAAATAAAAGTGAGTCAGGATTATTTATCATAACCATTAAAATATATCAAAATGAACCTCAGGCTTTATGCTATCTATCTGGTGCAGTTGATCACCTGGACTAAATGACTTCCCTTGTACAGGTGTAAACCATCAGTAACATCCTGACATTATATATTAAAAGATTGGGAACAAGGGAGGTAATTTCAGCAATGTGAATTCCATGAAAGCCTCAAGGCCCATTATGTTTGCAAGAAGTTATTTTTACATACCATAAACCAAAGTTAAGTCTACACCAGTATGGCTCGCCCAATGTGATATAGTGGATAAAGTGATGGACTAGGACTCAGGAGGCCAGAGTTTAAATCCCCAGTCAGCCATGGAAACTCACTGGAGGAAATGGAACTGGTAAAACTACTCCTCAAATATTTCACTTACCTTGAAAGATTTATTAGGGTTGCTATTGATGGCACACAATAAATAGCAAATATGGCTTAGCCCTGCTGAGGGATTGTTTTCCTCAGGTTAAGTCGAAGTAGAATTAAAACAGTTTCACATACAAGGACACTGAATGTTCTTACTAGTATCTTCCCCCCATGGCCCAGTCTTCCTGTAATGTTTACTTGCATGTAGGCCCTGTTCAGCAAAAGTTCTCAACAACATTAATTAAAGTTTTCCTCCTTGTAGGCTAAGTCTCTGTTGTTGCTTCCTAATGAGCATACATGGAGATTAATGATGAATGGCCTCTTAATTGCTTCATTGACAGTTTCAGTTCCCACAGGCATGTGAAAGATTAATTACTGATTTTTCCTGTTTTGTTTTTCTTCTGTTTGTTTATAGTGGATCCTTGCATACTAACCTCTAATCATTTTGTAGTTAGATTTTGTCATTTTGCTATTAAATAATGAAAGAAAAATTAATGAGAAGAAACTATTAGGAACAGGAACTGACACTACGGAAATTAAGACACAGTGTGATCACTAATCCTTGTGCCCCCCCTCCCGTCCCCATGAGGAAAGATTGAAGTGGATAAACTGTACAAACCAAAAACATTTAATTAAATGTCATCAGAGGTTTTTTAAAAAGCTTAGTAGAATGTTGCTAGTCCTCACTAGTTTAATTTTATTTACAAAAATTACCATTATCAGAACGCTTTGATAGACTACTTGGAGAAGGTGGAAAATGCAGATAATGCTAGGGATGAATTGTTGTCTGAATACCTTGTAAAAAGTGAGTGGATAAGAAGTGGTAATTCCGGGGAGTGGGGGGGGAGTGTAGTGTGGAATCCTCATTGTTAAGTGTAACACCTGGCTCTTACTTTTCATTGGTGAAGAGTAATCAGTCATTGGTGAAGAGTAATCAATCAATTTTGATGTTTCGTCAATATTAAGTTACCGTATATACTTGAGTATATGCCAAACCAAATATAAGCAGAGGCACCCAATTTTACCACAAAAATCTGGGAAAACTTACTGACTTGAATATAAGCCAAGGGTAGAAAATGCAGCAGCTACTGGTAAATTTCAAAAATAAAAATAAATACCAATAAAATTAGATTAATGGAGGCATCAGTAGGTTAAACGTTTTTGGAGATACTGCCCTTCTGAACTGTGAGACACACTTCACTGCCTGCGGGAGGGAGGACTCATACCGGATGCTGCACTTATCTACTGCTCTACTGCTGCATAACAAGATGGAGGGAGATCGAGGAGGAAGGTGGGAGGAGGAAGGTGGGTACATAGAAATGCAGGAGGAGGAGGGTGGGAGTGTCCTGGAAGCGGAGATGCAGTGTACTTAACCAGGTCATCGGACCACCCACAGAGGCTGCAGGTGCCCGTAGATGAGCGGGGGAGTCCGGAGAACACCCGCACTGCAGGAGAGAACATGTAATTTTGAAGCTGACTTGAGTATAAACCAAGGGGGTGCTTTTTCAGCAAAAAAAACTGTGCTGAAAAACTAGGCTTATACTCAGTATATACAGTATGTTGAATGCCAGTGTGTATGTAGCCAAAACAGAATCACCCAGGCACAATAGCGGGCTTGGGAGAACAGAAAAATCTGGGAGAGAATCCCATTCCCTAAGCACTGCAATAAAGGCCAAACATTCTCTGTGGCCACTGAAACATGACTAGTGGTATGGAGTAGGTTTGGAATGGAAACCTAGATTGGAGCGGAAATTGCCATGGAGGAGGAGAAGACTCATGGACTGGAAAAGAAGCACTCCCCTCTGTAATATTTGTTGCAAACACCACTTATTCCCTTCCAATCCAAAGTTCACCATATTCATACCATTTCTTACACAGCCCAAATGGTGCTGCCTACACTGATTAGAATGGTATCTGCAGGCTTCAGGGAGGAGGAAAGTCTTTTGGGAAAATCTGGGAACCCCCTCCCCCTGAGTCCAAAGAGAATGTGTTATTCAGTGGTCATGTCAAGTTCGCAGACTGAGAGGAAGGTGGAACAGAAAATGAAGCTTGGGGAATAAGGGCAGAATGAAGTGGAGGAGGTAGGAACCTGAACAGTAGCATTCCATAGTTCAATATATTTTTTGCAGGACCTTTTTTCTTTTTTTCTAAATGATTATTTTCAGGTGAATCTCCTAATCTTTCCTTGTTGCTCAGGTGTTGACTTGAGGGGCAGTACACAAGCCTGTGGTATTGTACACAAGAGAACATAGTATCTACAATCAGTAATTGTTTCTAAAAATAATCATTAATGTAACCTTCTGATATAGTGATTATTTATTTCATATATCAGTTAGGGATAAGCAGAACCAAACGGTTTTCTTCCGTAAAATCTATTACATACTTCTGGAATAGACTGATGAAGATTGAATAAGCAGCTAGACAGATCAGACATGGCACCAAAAGGCCCAAGTGGCCTGGCCTTTCAGGATGCATGGCTGATTAATAGGCTAGGGTGTGTGTTTCTGGCATCTGGTATGGCTTCAACACACCTTCACACACCAAGCATGGTTTGTGCAAGTAAAGTGACCTAGAAGTCCTCACTGCAGTAGACATGACTTCTGAATAGTACTGGAATCCACCACAGCAGGAGAGGGAGAGTCCTGGCTCTACTCCAGGATGTTTCATTTTTAGCTGGCAGTGGCACTTCTTTCTCAGATTCTAGTTCAGATGCAGTTTGAAAATATTTCTGAAACCAGTGTTTTTATTCTGTTGGTAATGCAACAAAAAGTTTTAAGTGATTAACCCTTGCAGCGTGTTATTGCTAGACACAAAGTTCAGACTATCTCATGCCACTTCGATTGTTTCTCTCTGTACTGTTGATACACAATAAGATAGTTTGGAATCCTGCAGGCCTGTGTGAAAAGATTACTGGGAGTGGCAAATAATTGTTTTATGATGTGTTAGCATTTTTTGCATAGTCGTAAGCTGAAGAATGTGCACCTTTAAGGCTTTTAAAATAGTTGCATAAATCATTCTTTCATTTTTCTGTTTCAAGAGCAGAGTTGTGAAATTAGTGGAATGTTCTGCTTGGGAAAGCTCTGAGGCTTCCAGTATGCCAATTTTTCAAGCCACGGCTATGTGGGTGGGAGTAATTCAGGGTGAAATTGCAGGACAGCTTCCTTTCAGGGCCCTCAGTTATGCCCTCACTTATTGCAGCAAAGCAAAGGTAAAGTTACCTCTGGCAGTTACTGCCACTTAACTTGGATACTGTGGTTGCCTGAAGGAGAACAGCTGTAAACTAGAGTTGGGAAGGGCTTCCGTACTTTACACCTAGCTGCCGTTTCTAGTCTTCTCTTCTAACAGCAATCTTTCCCACAGGGCTGCTAGATTCCCAACTAGAAAATGAATAGACTGGCAATTGCTTTTGAGTCAGGGAGCGCTGTATTGAAATCTTTATGTACTAGTAGTTCTGTGGACCAAAATGAAAACAGAGTTCTTTAAGAAAATAAAAATAAAATAAACAACAATTTTTAAAAAGCTGTCTCCTGAATTAGGGTGTTTAAGCCTGACAAGCTATTTCAAAAACACATTCTGTGGGTTAGAAGTCATAGCTCTCTTTCTGGGTCAGAGGAAAGAGAGCAGAGAAGAAATCTCTATTATAAGTCAGCAATTCAAGTTCTACTTTATGCTTGGCAATAATGCCTATATTTTAATTCAACATTTCATTTGCTATCCATCCTGTTAACATGCAGGTAGGAAAAGTAATCAACAACATAATTTCACAATATATTTCTGTTGGCTGAAATCCTCTCGCATTTTTGGTAGAGACTTCCTCTTTCTATCTTGTGATTCCCACAGGGTGAAACAGATGGCTTGTGAGTTAGACATGCTCTGGGAATGAAGGGGAAGTCTTTAATTTTCTCTTTATTTGATTTATTTTGTATTTTTCCCATCTTGCAGAATCATTTAATTAATTAATTGTTATAAATTTTTCTTGAACTTGTTATCCTTTATGTTGTAAGCCGCCTAGAGTGGTCGACATGACTAGATAGGCGGGGTATAAATACAATAAATAAATAAAAATATAAATAAAGATTCCAGGTTCCTATGCAGTATTTTTCTTTACAGCATTGGACTTTCCTTTCACTTCCAGGCACGTCCACAGCTGAGCGTCCTTTCAGCTTTGGCCCAACCACTTCATTAGCTCTGGAGCTACTTGTACTTGTCCTCCACTCTTCCTCAGTAGCATGTTGGACGCCTTCCGACCTGAGGGGCCCATCTTCCAGCGTCATATCTTTTAGCCTTTTGTTTCTGATCATGGGGCGTTCTTGGCAAAGATACTGGGAGTGGCTTGCGATTTCCTACTCCAGGTGGATTGCGTTTAGTCGAACTCTCCACTATGTCCTGTCCGTCTTGGGTGTCCCTGCACGGCATAGCCCATAGCTTCTCTTAGTTACTCAAGCCCCTTCGCCACGACAAGGCAGCAATCCATGAAGGAGGGTAAAAGGTGTATTGCAGTTGTAATCATACATTCTCTACAAGAATCATACATTCTCTACAATGTACACACGTTGTTACTTAAAATTTATTATCTTTATTGTTAGGTTCAAGGTGCAGGATTTCGGGGTTGGAAAGAAGTAACATCCATATTTGGTAAGGAAGATGAACAACAATTACTAACAGGATGCAAATCTCCGAAGTCTAAAGGGTATGTATGCAGAGAAGTGAAAGTGAGGCATTCCTTATTTGCAACTTCCTATTCATATTGTTCTTCTTGTGTAAAGATTCTGCTTAAACTAAGGGTCTGCACTGAGATAGAAAAAGGTTTTGTTTCAGGCACTGGGCTAAAACAGAGTGGGGTTTGGCACAGGAGGTGGTGGACTCCTCTTGGGATTGAATCCAGACAGTTTGCTTAATTCAGGAAGAAGAGGTGAGATCCTTCATTGAGCAGAACTCTCCCTTTGTGAATGGAAGCTTCCCCCCCTTTTTTTAAAAAAAGGGATTCAACCCAATGTATATATTCCTTTAGTTGATCATCAGCACAAGCCTCTGTCCAGCAACTCTTTGATTTGAAGAGCTATTTTGGCTGAAATCAAATGCCTGTTGTGTCCATTATAAGAACAAAATATGACCACAAAGGAGAGGATTCCCCACTATCTTTATCAATACGTATTCTTTCCTGTTGACAAATCAGTGCTGGTTGCAAATAGGGGTCTTTCCCCTTTGTAATTTGAATTTATATCATTCTGATTAGCTTAGTTCATTCTGTTAGTCTTACACCAATTTTTTAAAATTTTCTCCCATGTAAATGCCATTTTAAAAATTATTCCATATTTAAATGATAGAAAAATAGGATAAAATGTTTACTAAAGTAAAAGTACATCTGCAGTGAGTGAGAATTGAAGAGTAGGATGATAATGGGAAACGTGTGTCAGTCCTCCTTTATCATAGACATATTTATTGTAAATTTCTTTCTATGAAGTATGTTTCAATAAAAATGAAATTTTTATTATCTCCAGAACAAGCTCAAAATTAAAAGAGGATGTGAAACTGGAAAAGAAAACTGGATTTTGGGACAGTTTGGTGACCAAGCAAAACATCCAGTCCAGGAAACCAGATGAGATTGAAGGATGGGAACCTCCCCAGATTCCTGCTGATGACAACCTCAGTGATGTAGGAAATACTTTGCATGACCATCCATCTTGGTCTGGCTGGGAAGATGAAACCAAAGGCTCCACAAAATACACAAACCTGGCAAGCTCAGGAAATAGTTCACGGTGGAGCATCAGATCAGCTGGAAGGTTGGTTAGCATTAGGCGACAAAGCAAAAGTAACCTTACTGATAACTGGGAAGAGCTAGAATGATACAAAGAATGTGAAAGGTTCTATAAATGATCATAGGTGACATGAGTCATATATTTCCTCAAACCAAAATCAAAACTGCTTAATATTGCACCTTTTTACAAAACAATATTTTTCAAATTGTCCACTGGTCTTCTCACCTTATCGTAAGTTTTTTCAGTCTTTCTATTTTCTTTGCTGAACTAAGTCAAGCACACACTTCCCCCGTGTTTCACACGTTTACATGCTTACCATCTTTTGAAGAACAAATTTTAATGAATGTATACTGTGGCTGAATATTAATTGCCTTATACTAGAACCTCACTGGTTTGAAGTTCTGGATTATTTGGTTTTTGGACATCCTAACTTCATTTGTTGAAGGCTGTCTTTGTTATGTAAAAGTGCTGATTCATGGCTGACACTGCATTGTTTGAGCTTAATACATTGTTTGCCATGTCCTTCACGTAAACATATGATTCTCACACTGAAACTTCCAAAATCCTGCATTTTCCCAAAGTACTGAATTGTAAAGGAAGCTTGACAAGGTCATACGTTTTCATCTGCTTTCATAGAAACTTCATTGATTAGTAGTATAAGGCTTCTGCATATAGTTTGAGCTATAATTCAGCTAAAACACATTTCTAGTCACTCCAAACCACAGAATTAATGATAACAGCTAAGACCCGTGTTCCCTGAGTCCCTACACTAGATGTCAAAAGTAGCTTCTGTGTGGTTGGATTCCATATTGCTGCAGTGATGTAAGCCAGGGCACATAATAAGGTAACTTACACCACATTCTTGTGCAATTGTTATTAAGCTTAGTTTTTGTATGTACAGTAGGATCCCCTTATACATGGGATCAGTATCCGCTAATTCACTTATCCATGGTCCGAAAAATATTAAAAGAAAAATTCCAGATAAAACTATTTTCATATGGATTGCCAGAACCAGCCACTACGTAGAGACTGTGCTATGAATTCCTTTTAGTGAAGAATATACATTTTAGTGAAGAATACACACACACACACACACATATATACATATATACATACACACACATGTGGAGCCTACTCTCATGGATTTTCTTAGCAACTCCTGCATCAAATCAGGCCTGAGTTTCAGAAAATTCAGCTTATGCAGAATCCTCCTCCATCTGTTTAGAGGCCCATCGCTTTTCACCCATTGCTTTTCACCCATTGCTTTCACTTCCTTTATGGCTTTGTTGTGGGATTTTAGTATTCCCTCTTCTTCCCATTTCAGGGTAACAGAATTTAATGTTTTAGCTCTGCTGTGTACAAGGGTTATTTTAGTGTGTGTATTGCCTTTGTGAAGTTTAGCTTTACTGATTGCTGCTATTCTTATTACTAAAAGGAAGCTATGCATTATAGTACACATGGGAAATTGGAAATATAACTTAGGTTTGAGATCCTCCCTGTCCCAAAGTGAGCATTTGCACATTCCATTTTATTTAGAATTCTTTGGTTTATAAAATGAGAGTGATAAATAGGCACTCGTGTTCAGTGTGCCTACAAACCACTGTAACTTGAGAAGAAAGCGCTGCAGTACCTCGTTTGAACAACTTTTTTCCGGTCAACAAGGATACTAGTTTCAGAGATATAAGATCATTTTTGCTGAGTGGGGAACAATCAAATGGTCAGAATAATTGTCCAAGAAAGAAGAACCTCTCAGGATGGCTCCACGTACAAGCCTTCCTGCAGGTCTGGAGACCTAACTGGCTCAGAACAATCTTGCCACAAAACATTATGCCTTTGCTGAAAGGAATCCAGCACTGAGAACATTTGCAAGATGGAAGCAAGTTGTAAGGAACAAAGAGAATCTCAGCAACAGCAGTCGTTGGAGCCATCTTCTCAGCTAACTACTGCACCTGCTGATTGGAAATAAGAAGAAAATATTAAAAGTGCCTTGTTCTAAAAAAGTCCACATTATAAATGCTCAGCTGTTTTAAATGCTTCCTTTCTCTTCCTTTCCTCATGCACCCTTGTTTAATTTCTGTCCTAAAATTCTGTAAAATGTTTAATTCAAATACTAGAATATATCCCTCCCTTAGGTTACAAAATCTTTACTTGACCATTGATACTGAGCCTATATGCTATTGTTTATGCAGTAATCTTATTCAGCAATGGACAACCAAAAACACAAAGTTCAAGATTTTCTTCCAGCAATCAGCAGTTTTCGAGTGAAATGAACTGTTTTTAACTAGGCAGGGTTTCCATTTTACAGTGTCCCCTTCCTGCATGGTTTATTAGCTTGAATCTTTCCACTGAGTGGGGAGGTGGGCAATTTCTCCTCTGCCTCCCTACAGCCTTCCTCACACTCTCAATATCTGTTCTGTGTAGGGTTCTGCAGGGAGACTCTGGAGTAGATTTGGGGATGTGAGGCTACCGGGTTGAAAGAGAGAAATGAAACAGCATGCTAGGCAAATTGGATGTGTTCAGTAACACCCCCCACACACACACACACAGTCATACTGTAGTGTGGAGGAATAAGAATTTACTACAATCCTATAGTATCTCATATAATTCAGAAATATATACAACTCCAGATTTGTATGGTTTCTTTCAAAAGTGATAATACTTTCCAGAGTCTTTGACTATGCCCAGTCCTTGGTCCCTTCTTACCATCTTACTCACACTAATGAATTCTAATTCAGCAGGACATTGTGACGAGAGACTGGTGCAGGTTACAGGATTCTGAGTTGGAGAACTGCCCTTTCATTTTGTCCAGTTAGCCTGTAACTTGGATTTGGATTATTAGCACACCCATCCCTGCTTGATTTTTTGTAAGAGAGATATACTTGAAACCAGTTTCATCTGTGACATTTGGAGGGAGACCTGATAAAGCCTGTAACTCTTAAGAAACTGGACTTTACAGTGATTACGGTGGGAAAACTGAAATCTGTAGCTTTGAAGGGCTGGAATTTGGATGTAACACTCTAATTTAACCTTAATCTGCAAATACACAGATTTGTGTAGGCATGTTACAATCAAAGAGAGTCTAAGTCAATCAGAATTAACCCTTTTTCTTTGAAGATGGTAGAACTTGCCAGTGCTTAATGTCAGTTTGGTTATACCTTGGTTTCATCTGTCGTGGAAGTACTTGTAGAATATAGCCATTTGCTTTATGGAAAGATTTCTCTTGTTTACACTTTATGGAGGATCTTCATATGGCAGGTGTAGAAGTGTAGTGTGCTGGCATTGAACTCAGATACAGCAGTGGCAATGAAAGAGACACAGAAGCTCAGGGTTTACCACTTGTGGAAGGTTTTTTGCATACTGTGACAAGTTGAGGAGATGCCTTGCACGTTATACTGTGAAGTGCCTGTACTTTACCTTAATGACTTGTCTTGAGATATCAATCAGTTCTATGTGAAAATAAAACTTCATACAGTCGTGTTATATTTGGAGAGCTACTAAAGGATAGAGTTACAAAGCTGTAGGTTATTGTAAAACAAATGCCCTGCGTCTTGATCACCTATGCATGGCTAAAGCTGTTGTTGTATACTGACCATTGGAGCTAAAATGTTGTCTTATGCTCAAAAAGCAGAATGGATTTATCTGCTTCTGCAGCACTTTGCAGAAAATGGTTGCCTTTGTTGCTCACAGTTACATGATGGGGCACCCCTTCCTATGTTCTCCACAAGACCTATGGAATATAAGGCCTACCTATCTTGTTTCTTCCTTGTCTGCTGGATGGCGCATACGAGGGTGAACAGTGAAAGTTCTGTAAGGGAGACAATGGCAGACACATGGCTATGCTGGACTCCTTCCCCAGCACTGATATAAGGGGTGTGTGCTGTTTTCTCATTTGATCTTAATACTGTGTGCTGTGGATGGCTTGTCCAGAGATTGGGTCTCAAGTGGGAATTTGAGATATAGGCTGGAATCCTGTTGCATAAGTTATGTCATGCAACTTGGATGATCTCACCAGCTGCGGCCATTTCTGGAGAATTAAACGTTTCTTATTCCCCCCCCCCCCAAGGTTCTGGGGATCCCTAGGGATCCCAATGATACCAGTGAAGCCTTCAGGAGCCATGGAACAGGGTGGGGATTGAATTAAAGTTGTGAAATCGACACTGTTGGACCTGGTGGAAGGACAGGGAGCAGTGGTGCTATTTTCCAGCTTTAAATAATCTCCTCCCTCATTTTTCAACTCTGAAGTTTTCCCCAGAATGAAAGGGATCCCCAGAACCTATTGGGGAGAATAGAAAACTTTTAATTTCACTGAAACAGCAGCAGCATGGCAGTGACTGATGACATGATCCATGTTACATTACATAATTTGCAAAGCAGGATTCTGGCTGTATAAAGAATGCCCTGGTTTATTTTAGCTAAGAAAGTGTTTTGCAAACAGGACACAATCCATCCAGAGTTATGCACTTTCTGACCTCATTGTTTTCTATGGTGTTTCATATGTTTAACTTACACTGAAATCAAGCTGATAGAAGTGTCCTTCACCTTGGTTGGATTGTTCCCAGGTTTTCCTAAAGCATAATGGTTTAATATTAAAACTAGTAATTAAATTTTAATATAATTTATTGTTGTGCTTCTGTAGAATTATTTGTTGGAGAATTTTCTTTTTTGGTCTCCTATTTGTTTAACAAGTATTGAATCCTTCTGTTCTTTAAAATATTGCTACCTAGATTTGTATGAGCCTTTCTTTAAATGGTATTTGTCCTTTTTTCATTGCTTTGTACTTATTTGATTTTATATCTGTTGGTTCTGAAGAAGATATCATTGTGATTGCATTGTAAGATTGCACATGGAATAATCAGTTAGATGATGTGTATGTTGCCTTTTCACTGCATCTATGCAGAATTCTTGGCTTGAAAAAGAAGGTGAAATGCTTTATGTGGCTGAAACAGTCACTTAATATTCACATGGTTCCTTTCCTCTATTTTATTAGTTTCACTTGAAAAATATAGTATTTTCACAGATGAATAAAAAAATAAGTTGAAACCAAAATGCCGAATTCCTTCATTTAATTTGGTTATTCTTAGGAATGTAAGACCTGCCTCTACAGTCTGTTTTTCACTGAAGTTACCTTGTACAGTGGTGCCCCGCTTTATAATTACCTCGTTAAACGACAAAATTGCTTCACAATGATGTTTTTGTGATCGCTATTGCGATTCCAAAATGATGTTTCAAAGGGCGATTTTCGTTTGACGATGATTGGTTCCCTGCTTCGGGAACCGATTCTTCGCATTATGATGATCTAAAAACAGCTGATTGTCGGGTTTCAAAATGGCCGCCCACTGTGCAAAATGGCTGTCCGCTGTTATTAGGATGGATTTGTCGCTTAACAGGGATTGGAAAATGGTCACCGTATGGAGGATCTTCGCTGAACGCTGAGGTATTTCGCCCATTGGAACGCATTGAACCAGTTTTCAATGTGTTTCAATTGAGTGTTTTTCCTCGATGATGATTTTGTTCTACAGCAATTTCGCTGGAATGGATTATCCTCGTCAAGCGAGGCACCACTATTAATTTCTTGCTCTTCTTCCACCTCTTTCAATGCCATTGTTTAACAGCAGAGGTAGTAGTAGCAGTAGTTATGTTGTGTTGCTCATTGGTTAAATAAAGTTCTGTTGATTGCCTTTATGTCTGGGCCAGTAGGATATTTTGAAGTCCCCTGCCTGTGGAGTACTTCAGGTCACACACAGGTCCTATGAATTAATGACTTCCAAGAGGCCCTATTAACTATCCTGCTCAGTTCTAATAACCTAATCGCGACAGATTCCTTTGTTGAGTCAATTATTCTCATGTTACCTGTCCCGCTTTTCTTACCGGCTTCTACTTTTCCTATACAATCCTGTCTGATACCGTTGCCAATGAGCAATCATTTTCCTGTATATTTTGTCCCAACAGTGTACTTTCGCCCAGATTGAAGATTACAGTAGTCATCAGAACAATGAAATACTATGTCACATCCATTTCTTTTTGAACAATCAATAGCCTTTCGTAAGCCACAGAGTCAAAAGCTTTACTGCAATAGATAAATCACAAAGAGGGTCTTCTCCTTAAAATTACTTTGGTACTATCTAAGTGTCAATGTATACTTGAAACATGGTACTAGTGTTCCTTCATTTTCTGAAAATAGTTTGAACATCTGGTATCTTTTCTCACTGCCATCTGTCGTAATATCTTCGTTGTAAAGTCTTGAGCATCACTTGGCTTGCTTGGAAAATTAATGCAAAGGTCCTATGCTTACTGCAATTTTTAGTGTCTCGCTTTTTTAAGGTTAGAAATATACAGAACATTTTCATGCTTTGGCACACAATTTTCCACATCTGTTGGCATATTCTTACTAGGAGTATGAACTCTCCTGTGTAGCTTGAGATAACTCCACTGGTATCTTACTTGTGGTGATTTCTTCCAATTACTTTGAGAGTAGCTTTCACTTCCTAAAGGAATCTGTCAGTCTTGCTTCCCCTTCTGCATAGTCCTTTAGAATACTGCTTCTAGCTTCTTTTTATTTTATGCTGATCAGATAACATATTCTTGCCATGTGGATCTTTCATCTTCCCTTAGTTGAAATTTCTCTGGTTTTATGAACATTATAGAGGAGATATCTTGTTTTTCCTTTTCTGTTGATCTCTTGTATATCTTTGCAATTATTATTATATCTTGTGGTTATGTCTTGTTTCATTCTACATATCTTCTAATTCATGGTCAGTAGAGTAACTCGAATCTGCATGGATTTTAAATTCTTCAATAATGTTTATTTAAATGACACTTTGGTACAATTATTGTACTGTTCTTCAGCTTTAGTCTAATTCTTAATATTACCTGTTCAGGGTCACTATACCACAGTTTGTTCCTGGTCTTGTTTCTACAGAGATGATAGAGTTTCTCTATCTTCTTCCAATTATATATTCATTTGAGTTCTGTATTGACCCTCTCATGATGTCTGTGTGTAAAATCCTCCTGCTAGGTTATCAGAAACGTGTTTCAAGTAAACAAATTATTGGTTTCACAGAACTTTATGAGTTGCTCTCCTGCTTCATTTCTAACTCGTGGACTGAATCCTACAACAATGTTTTGTTCTGCTTTATTTTCTACATTTGCATTGTGGTCATGTGTAGTCATCAGTAGGAATGGAACTTTATTGTTTTAACGAAAGGGAAAACAAAAACAAAAGTTCTTTCATTTTCATTTTCTTTTGTAGATTTCCAACAGATGGCCCCTTAAACATAAATGACTCATGTTAATGAAAAAGAGGGCTATGAAAGTTTCTCTTTTTGGATTTCCCTCTTTTGTTTAATCTTTCTTTAATCCCTTGTCTGTCAAATTACCTGGGAAATTTTTCATCTAAAAGTGTTGCGGGCACTGCTGTCATCAGCCAATTCAAACATCCAGGAGGGTTTTTTTTTGTTGGTTCCCCCCCCCCCGTACCAGAAAATCTAAATGGGGGAAAACCAAACTAAATGATCCAAAAGAGGCAATCCTTTTTATGTAAAAGAACAATGCACAAAAAACATAAAAAGTAAAGAAGAACCACTCAAGAAAACAAAAATGAATGTTTTCACTGTGTGCATCCCTGATAATCAGCAATCCCATTTTGGTGTGCAATCAGCTTCCTTTTGGACACTTACATAAAAGCTTTCTGTTTCTACTTCTTGTACAGCATCTGTAGCAGAAGCATAGACATGAATGACTGTTATATTGCTAGGCTGTCCATGACATCTGATTGAGTCTTATTTTGTGGCTTCTGCTATGTCTTCCTTACTATTAGAGCCACATAATTTCTCTGAGTCTGGCATTTCCAGAGTAAAACATATTGTGATAATCTGATTATCTGCAGTATTTATACTCCATTTGTTTAACAATATATAGTTATATATGCCATGCAGCATCAGACTTCTTTCTGTCAACGTCATTTTCACTACTGGAGATGAGTGTACCTTACCTAATTTCAGCATTGGCAATTCCACCAATTTGGGTTTTTTTTTCAACCTTCCTCTCTGTAAAAGAATTCAAGGTGGCTTACAAATTATTTAAAAACACAAACAGTAAAAGTTAAAAATATAAAAATCACATTATTAAAAATAATTTAAACATAATGTTAAAAGGCAAAAAAAATCCTGCTAAAGGGAAAAAAAGAGGATATTTTCCCCCATAAAATCACTTCCTCAGCTGCAGTTTTCATACTCAAAGCCCACCTGAAAAGCGAAGTTTTTGTCTGCAGCAGAAGGACAGATAGGAATGGAGCAGACTGGTCTCCTGCAGAGCCACAAAAACCTGGGTGCAGCCATCCTAAAGGTTCACCTGCATTCACGCCAGGCATGCCTGTGAGGGTGGAAATACTGAGAGAAAGGCCTTCGCTGAAGGTCTTAAAACCTGGAGTTGCTTGTATGGAGAGATGCGGTCTCTCCGATAGCCCGGCAACCAGTCATTTGGTGCTTGTTCGAATTCTGCTAGGAAACAGACCAGTAGTGACAGGAGGGATTGTACTAAGGATTTTCTGTTCTCCCTGCAACCAGCTCAGGTCAAGAGTCTAGCTGCAGTATTCTGGACCTGCCAATGTTTCAGAGCACTTTCCGGGGCAAGCCTACTTAATAGCATGTTATGATAACCCATGCCATGTGCCACTCCACCCAGATCAGTTCTGGCTTGTAACAGAATCTAGCCTCCTTTTCTTAGTGTTCTTGGCTTCCTTGAAACACTAAGCACCCTCATATATGCATTTCAGAGGGAGAACTATGTCAAATCAAATTTGCTGAGTCTTCCAGGTACCACAAGATTCTTGGCTGGTTTGGGTTGAATGAAATAACAGCTGGCAGAGCATGTTTCATAACCTGCTGTGTCATGCCATTGTGGTAATGAAATGTTGTTTTTGCATACATATTGAAAGTACAACAGGGCCTGGTAACTGGTTGAGTGCCACAGTGCATTAACGGAAAGTATGGTATCAACAGAAAAATGGAAGAGGGTCGGCCATTGAATGCAAGAAGCAGATGTTCTTTTCAGACATATGCTCTGCACACATCCTTTTGCAACACCCATAAGTGGGTAATGGGAGTAAGGCTGTCAGAGCCTGACCTTGGGGACCTCGGGGGAAAGGGCCTAATATATCTGGCATTTCTTTGCAGAAGCTCAAGCGCCTACAAGATACATGGCCTGCAGAGTGACTTGAAAATGAATTCACCATATTATTTATTATCCAAACAACATCAACAAGATCAAAATACAGATAAAGCAAACCTCATGGAAAAACATTATTTTCTCTAAAGGGCTGAAGCCTGTCAGAACAAAGAAGCTTTTACTAGATGTTGATCCTCTTGTTTTTAACCTGACACTAAGTAGAACAACAATCTCAGCCTGCTCAGTTCTGCTCTCTCTCTGTGTGTGTGCGTGCGTGCGTGCGTGTGTGTGTGTGTGTGTGTGTGTGTGTGTTTAAATCCACCCTCACCTGTTTGTCATCTGAAATTCCCTACCCCATGCCTGGGTTTGTGAAGAGAATGCATTTTAATGGTCCCAGTGGAGGTCTTTATTCCTGGTTTAGGGAGAATTTCGAGAAGTATGGGACAAATTACACCAAGTCTCCTTTGTTGATTTTTTGGTGGATCTGCACCACATCCTTATTTTCAGGTATATAGAAAATGAATTGCATATTATCTAATTACTTTAACAAGGATTAGGAACCAGATCCTCCCTAATTTGGATGCAGCCACTGAGAAGGGCCTTCACACACCATCTTAAGACTTCTGCAGTGGTCTGTTGTTTGGCAGTGCCTTACCTTAGGGCTAAGTTTCCAATGTTTCCCCACAAGCTCCATTCAATGAATTACTTATTTAATGTCAACTAAGTCTTTCACATTTCGATTCCTGCCCATTTCATGCCTGTTCATTGCAGCTGATGGATTAGCGATGAATAGCCTCTTAACTGCCATAGCTTTTGCTTGTCTAAGATGAAAAGGCTGATGCTAAAACTGGGGGGTTAGGAAAAAAGGAATAAGAAAGTAA